TATTATAATAAGAATTATCTTAATATCATATGCGGATAACGATGTGGGTATCTATATATAAGTTCCCCATTTCAAACGATTTCCATTTTTAAAAAAAATCGTTTCCATTTTTTGTTTATTTTGATAAATTTTAATGTTTTTTAAATAGAATATATATATATATATACACTTATTTATGAAAAAATTTCTGAGATTCGTATGCAAATATTAATGCTACTGGTATTTATATTGGAATACAACACTTTTAATGTAAAATACGTTGAATCGGAACATAAAAAAATCTCTAATCATTTGACATCAAAACTGGAGGCGTGGTGTTACAATCATAGTTTCTCTAAAGGCTCTAATTTTGATTGCAGAAAATATCAAATTCGAAAGAAACCCCTGTTTATGAGTCTAAAAGGTTCAAATGATAGTAAAAAAGATCAACCTATCTTATCTGTTCAGGAGGTAACTACGATAAGACCAATAGATATACCATATTGTCTTGATGCATCTTATATACCCATATCCTGGTATGTGAGGATATTATATTCGATTAGCTTCTCCATTTATACCTACATTCATACTATTCATATATTCATAACGTTAATAGTTTTGGTAACAATAATTTCATTCATTTATGAATTCTTCACCACTAAACAAAATTAATCATGAAATTCATTTAAAAACAATAATATGCAACATTATGTGATGGATTATGATTATTAGGCAGTAAAGAATACACCGAAATTTTTTATAGATTATTTTCACCCAATCCTATCATTCCATAATCTCAATTAAATATAGTATTAATTCACTCCCAGAATTTTTATAAAAAAATATAATTTATCAAATATCACAATATGTCAAATATTTATTTATAAAAAATATTGATAAATTTATATCTAAGATTTTTAAAAAAAATATCATAATGATATATAAATTTATTTTTTGATTTCAAATTAATCTTTGCATTCTATTTTCGGATTAAAATCTTGGTGTGAGAGATAAGACTGAAAAGATAATCTTATGATTATTTTTTTATAAAATATGATTATCAATAAAATCAGTGGATGGATCTTATTTTTATTTATGCTGACCTTAAAGTTAAATTTACATTCGATACGATCCGATTTAACAGCTGCTCGAGTGTAAATGAATCATGTTAATGAGGAAGATTTATCATAATTAATGTATCAATTTTATCTTTAATTTCATAATCCCTTAGGTTTTATTTTTAAAAAACAACCATTTAATACAACATTGAAATTATATAATAATTATCAGAAATGTATTTTTTTAGAGTTTTCAACATTCTAAACCATCGCATAATATGTTATATTTCTGTTATATAGAAATCAATTCCATAAAAAGACCCATAAAAGATATATCTATTAAAGAAAGTTTTGAATAGAATTCAATAATCGAAATCTCGCTATATTATTAATACTTGCAAGTATAACTTTTTATATGGAAAGCAAAAAATGGGAGAAAAAATCAAGATTAGTATAAAAACTGCTAATATTGTTAAATTTGCAGGGTTAGGTGACTAGACTTGGCTGAAAACCGACCAAATATTGAGCTCCAGAATATAACTTCTAACGCGAAACAACTATTTGAGCCATGTATAAGACCGGACCTAATGGGCCAAATGTGCCGACCCATCTGCTCAGCATGATAGGTTGCCTTGCATGATTGATTAGCTTGTTTGATAAGTCAAAGTATATAAACAATATAAATATTTTAGTTAGAACCGAATTAAGTTTTTTATATTAGAAAGATGTTATACGACTTTTGGGTCTAGTAATCACTGCCATTATTCTTTTAATCAACACGGAATATTAGTATATGTGAGAAAAATTTTATAAATTTTTTGGTGAAGTTCCTTCTTATGACTAGCGAAAAATTAGATTTCCATTCTTTTTTTTTACTTCACAAAGAAGAAAAAAATATGAAAAAATTCTAAATACCTGACTTAAACACAATTAAATGTTTTTGTTATTAAAAAGATATTATAAAATCTTTGGAGTAAGAAATTATCCCTTTATTTTTACTCTACAAGGAAAATAAAAATTTATACTTCTTATTGAAGATCTTTAAGTCCACATATTGTAGGTCTTTGGCTATGTGTAGACCTGTGCGCCGACAGCCTTATCGGGCGTTTCTTTTAGTAAAACAATCGGCTGGCAGAGAATCGATTTAGACGTCATTACAAAAATAAGCGGCGGCGCGGCGGTCTAAATATTTTTCTAATTTAGATTTTTTAAATTAAAATCATAAATTTATTGGAATACTTAATAAAATTTGTAAATTTATGCTTCATTATGCAAATTTCGAATTATAGTATAATTATAATTTAACGGTTTTATTAAGTTATAACTATCATGCATAAATATTATTTTATTTAAATTTATTGAACATAATGATCTTTTATATTTAAGACATGCCCCAAACATAAATATTGTCATATTTTCTTAGCCAAACACATTTCTTTACATTGGATCGTGCATCCATAACCTTTTAAATTTTCTTAGACCCTAAATTGAATTCATTTTCAACTTTATTTATCTCGGAAAGAATAATTTCGGCTGTTTTTCGAGTGACATGACGAGTGCAATGTATAAAATGCGATATTTGAATTATTATATATTCCATAAAATATAAGGCTGCATTCAAAATGGAGACGGATTCGTTTTTTACATCCGTTCCGTCAAAAGTCAATCTCATTAAAAATGATATATATATCCAATACCTTCCATCTTAAAAACGGATCCGGCAAATTTTGAAATAAAAGCAATTTGAATTTTTGATCTCGCAAATTTTATAGAGCGTTATAACGTTATTTATAATTTTTTAAAAATGAAAATCAATATACATCATTTTTAATGAGATTGACTTTTGACGAAACGGATGTAAAAAACGAATCCATCTCAACTTTGAATGCAGCCTAAGGGTAATATAATTTCGCCGTCTTTATTTTTCGGTCCACATATCAGAAGTTATAGCAAAAAAAAACTATAATTCAAAATATTTTTCTTATTCATAAATAATATATAAAATAAATATTATTTTTAATAATAATAAATATTCATCATAACGTCACGCCGCCAAATATTCCTATTGACGGGAGCGTGTTAAGCGCAGACACTTTGGCGATGGCGTCGTCATGGTCAAAAATTACCGGTGGTAACGCATTGAAGCGGCGGCTCACAGATCTAGCTATATTAGATTTATTTAGAATAAGTTTGGGTTTATTTTTCTATATATTTTAACAATGTTTTAAATAATTATTCACTTCTATTTTGTTTCAAATTATTGTTTAAAGGGATATATTATGAGATTTTGGCTAGCTTAAATTAATATTTATGAAAACCTGGATAATTTTTGAAGAAAGGGACCCCCACCCCTGTATATTTTGTGGTAAGTAAACTTAAAATAAAAATATATCACTTGGTAAATTTGACATTGCAATATTCGTAAATGAGAAAAAAAATCTTTATTTTGAAAATATTACTAGGAAATGTGTGATATATCTTATAAATGCAAACAGGATAAGTGAAAATTTTCAGGTAAATGCGTAGGTTTGACTTTTCTTATCTTCATATAATGTTTAATAATATCGGTTATACAAATAAAGAAATTTATTTATTTACACCTCCTAATTAAAATTGTGATTTTTTAAAGTTTATTTATTATTTGACATTTTTTAAAAAACATAAAGTAATTAATCAATTTTAAGTATACAAATTAAATTCCTATTTGCTGAAAATATTATTACAAAAATTGTTTTATACTTAGTGCCAATATATCCATATCAGTGACGAAGCTTTCATAGAAGCATGGGAAGCTTTGCTTCATTGTTATTTTTTTTAAAAATTCTTAAACAAATATAAACATTTTGCTACGTTAAAAAATTAATTCTATTCTTACTATAAATATAATTAATATTATTTTTAATTCTTTAATATTCTACTGTGTTATTATTTTACTATTTTAAAAAAAAGTATAATATTTTTACTGTCAAAAAGTAAAATACAAGAGAAGTGATATCTTCCCGGTTATATATTATTTCCATTTATGAGAAAAATATTACGGTTGTTTGATTTAAATATTTATATATATGTGCTTTATTTTTATATATATGTGCTATATTTTTATAATCGTTAATTGTCTTTTATATGACCTTTGTTTTTCATTTTAATTAAACTTCAATGAATAAAAAATAAAAAATAAAAAAAAAATCAATATTCAACACCATATAATTAATTTTAAATTTTAATAATTGCAATGCTATTGGAAATTATTTAAAATATAATTTTGCTCATGATTTTAATATGGAGAATTTGATTATTGATAATGATAAAGTCCTAAACCAATTTTACAAAACTTGGAAAAATAAATCAAACCTTGTATTCGTAATTTTTATATCGATAAATATATAAATTATGAGTTGCTCACTAGATGTGAATTTATAATTATTGTTCGTCATGCTTATTATTCCCAATTAAAAAAATGTTTTAAATGATAAAGGATTTTCGGAAATGGTATTGCAAATTATAAAATTAATTACCTCCCTAATATAAATTTAACACATCAACACTTGTTCGTATATTTTAAAAAATATATTAACTCCTATTTTACAGATAATATGATGTAAATAATTATGATCCCATTAAAGGCGCAAAAATACAAATTTTATATTATTAGCGATAGAAGTGTTGATATTACAATAACTATTGACATATTTAATCTGCAAATTATATGTAATGTAGGGTATGTCATCATAACTAAAAACTTTAATGTTATAATATTTTGGTAGACATCAGAACAAAAAAAATATAGTTAAAATTTTATAAACTAAAAACAAAAATATATGAAAGCGATAATTTGTAAAATATAATTAGATTGTGTTATGCATTTACATTTTAATATGAAATTAAATTAATATGCTGTTATGAATGCAAAAAAGAAATATAAATTGATGATTTCAAATAATCTTTAGACTTCAAAAATCAATCAACGTCATCAAATACTTCTTTTTTTTTAAAACAATATTAAAAATGGTTCAACAAGTTATGAATGAACAGCACGAAGCCCCAGCTTCTAAATCAACAATTGGCATAATTTATCCACCCCCAGAGCTCAGAAGTAAGTTTATAATTTAAATATCTTAAATGATCATTTATAAACAGATATTGTTGACAAGACTGCAAGTTTTGTTGCTAGAAATGGTAATTTTATTGCATGTTAAAAATAAATTATTTGATTATTAATTAAGGCCCCGATTTTGAAACAAGGATTAAAGAGAATGAAAAAACCAACACTAAATTTAATTTCTTGAATCCTGGGGATCCTTATAATGCTTATTATAAATTTAAGATTAATGAGTTTCAACAAAATATCCATCAACAGCCAAATCAAAATAAATTTAGTGGAGGAATAGAGCTTAATAAAGCAAATATAAATCAAGATTTTGTCAGAAAATTGATACCAGTAAAAAAAATTACATCAATGTATGATGCAATTGAGGTAGATATCCCAAAAGAAGCTCCCCCTGATTATGAATTTGTTGCGGATCCTCCATCTATATCAGCTCAAGATTTGTAATAATTTTTATATACAATTTTTTTTTAAAATTATTTAATATTTATTTTCTGACATTTAAACTTAATATGATTATGATATAATGCCATGCTTAGATACACTGACACCACTTTTTGCTGATACCAATACTATAAAGATATTGTGCTATGTCACAATATTTATCAGTTTTTATTTAATAATAGTATTATATAAAGAAAATTATAAATTTGAGATTATTGTCAGTTTTTTTTAGAAAGGTTCTAGTCAGATAGTAAATATTTTAATAAAATTGATAATAAAAACTTTTTTTAAAATTAAATACAAGTAAAAAAGCATGAAAATTTTTTTTTAAAACAACTAAAAATAAGGGATATTAAATTTTTAACTGATTATCAATTAAAAAACTTAAAAATGATAATTATCCTCATCAATTACAATAATTTTGCTTACATAATGTATGAATTTATATTTTAAAAATATCTAAAAAAATTTAAACTGAAAAGAGGAAGATGCTCTTTTTTAAAAACAACAAATAAGAAACAATTATAATCAAGACAAAAATATTTAATAATTCTTGATTGTTAGATTTTTTTGGTACCCACCTTTAGTTATCTTTTTCCTTTTTATTAATTAGTGATCGAAATCTATAAAGTAATTAGAATAACATGTAAACTGCATATATGATAACATATTTAAGAACAAAAATTTGTTAAAAATAGTCATCTTCCTCTGGTGATAGCCATGAAACTTTAAATAATTTAAAATTGTAACGTAATATTTCAAGGCTCATTTTATGTTTAATCAAAGCACCATTGAGAATTTTGTTTTATGGTTCTTTTGGCTAATAAGTTTGATTAGAAATTTAGCCTCTTTCCCCAAATGAGTAGTTTTTGAAACTACAATTGCTATAAATATGTTGTTGTTGGCTAGATGTGAGTATTTTTGGGATTTCCTTTTTCCTCTTTACCTAAGGAATCGTTTATTTGATGGGGCAAAAATGTCATATCTATGAAGTCTCAATACATGTGTTTCCCTATATCTCAGGGGAACGTATGCCTATCAATCGAGGGTTATTAATAACAGAAGTATCCCATGGTTCGAAATGTGAAATAACATCCGCTTTGAATAATGAATTCTTTTATTAATTCTTTTATGCCTTGCATATTTTTATCTGTTCACAATACAATGGTGTGGATGTATTAGAATCAACCATTACCCCACATCTTTTACTGTTGTAGGGTAGAGATATGTCTTAATCAAGTCTGCCAAAGCATATCTAAATTCCTTATTTGACGAAAGATATTTATTTAACAAGCTTGGATAAGCTTCTAACCATTCATGGCCTGATTTATTCATTTAGTTATACAATTAATGCAATAATAGAGTTTCTGAATATTGATATAAAGTTTGCTTGCTATTTTTCCTTTTGTCCAAATTTATTACCAGATTAATAAGGTATTGAATGTATTATTTTCATAATAACTTTGAAATAAATATCTAATCCAGAGATACACTGGATATGGATACGATATTGGCCTGATACTTATGATTAGAGAACTGCAAAGTAATTTTTTCGCAACCCCGAGCCCGAATTTAAAATTTTTTTTTGTCCGAGCCCGAGCACACATTTTTTAATCCAACCCGACCCGAGCCCGACCCGAATAAAATTTTGCAATTTAAGTTTTAATATTATAATAACCAAAAAAAAATTTATGTGTATTTATTCAGTTCAGCCACCTTAAATAAAAGTTTATTTGACGGCCATAATCTATTCAAGATATATATTAAGTTACATTTTTAAAATTTGTAAAAAATATTATAAAACGATTAATATACAAGCGAATTTAAAAATTATAACGATTATATAATAAGCATCATTTATGCGAATATAGATATGATGTAAAAGTTAATAAATATATAAAAAATATAATGAACATATTATATTATATATTGACCTCATCAATATCATTATCAAAATTATCACAAAGTGAATAATTATGATATATAAATAAAGAGGCGTCCAGTTTATCTGGCTTTAAACGAGTCCTTCTCTCCTCAAAGGCCCTACCAGCAGCTGAAAACGCCCTTTCACTGCTAGCAGACGAAGCAGGGATAGCCAGGAATTTAAGAGCTAAAATACTTAAATTTGGAAACTCATAATGGTTTGTTTTCCACCATTTTAAAATATTATGTCATCAACACATAATTTCGGATCTAGATATTTTTTTAGCTCGTCAACTTCGGCGCTAGCATCAGAATACGCATTGTCAGCCTCCCATAGAGAGAAGTCCAAAAACGTATCTACCACCTCAGTAGTTTCTTAAGAAAAAAATATTCAATAATAATATTAAGATATATATTTACATTATTATTTTTTAATAATTTTACATATTTGATGATTGATATTTTTTTATAAAATTTATGTAATTATCATTATTCAACATTGATTTAATAAAATTTGAATTTTTTGAATTTTATTTAGTGATAATAAAATAATTAAAGGAAGTACTGAAAAAGAAAATTTTATTTCAGTAATTTTAGGAAAATTTGTCTAACATTTTTTTGGAAGTAAATATTAATCTAAGATTTTGTATTTATTATCTCCAATATTTTTTAAATATATACTCAAAATTTTAGATCTCAATTTTTAATATGTTTTGAGATATATCTAATCAAAATTTGGGGTAAAATAGACCCCACCTTTGTAGTTAAGGGAGTTTTTTCTACCTTTGTAGTGAAGGGTTAAAACAAATGTTAAAAAAGACAATGTATAGGCTAGTTAAATAATAAATAAAACTTACATAAAATATGTCTTATCTTGTAATTTACGAGAAACACAATTTAGTAATAAAATAGTTTGGTATCCGGTTGTTAGGTTTATAAAATAATAATTAATAATGACATGACATGTTAATATGATTGACATTTTAATCCTAAAATGTGATAAATATTAAATAATATAATTTTATAATTAATATTATAAATTATACTAATTATTTAAGATATTAATATTATTATATATATTTTCGGGTCGGGTCGGGTTTTCGGGTCGGACAGCTTTTACAACCCGACCCGAGCCCGAACCCGAGAAATTTTTTTTTGATGTCCAAACCCGACCCGAGCCCGAGGCTCGGGTCGGGTCGGGCTACGGACAGCCCGTGCAGTTCTCTACTTATGATATCAATCACTATTGATATTTGCCAATACTTTCAAATTTAACTAATTCAGCCATTACTCAAAAATGATAATTAAACTTGCACAAAAAAATCTAAATTAGTTTACATTGCACTATAAATTTATGAAAAAAAAATAAGCCAATAAGAAAGAAAGAAGATGCTTTTGATCATCCCAAATAGATTTGAACAAAATATTTATACATATGCAAGAACAGAAAACATGGTATCAGTCTAATACCTTAATCTTTTAGTATCCTGGAATTACACATTCATTGATTTTTCAGCAAAATTAAATAAAAACGCTTTTGCCATTAGTTCAGCTCATCCCAAATAGCTTTGAACAAAATATTTATACATAAGCAACAACATAAAACATGGTATCAGCCTAATACCTTAATCTTCTCGTTGCTTGGGATTACACATTCATTGATTTTTCAGCAAAATTTAATTAAAACGCTTTGCCATTAGTTCAGCCGACTTTTATAAATAAATAAATACGAGGATATTGCTAATATATAGGGCTGCACGGATATTTAAATGGTCTGGTTATAAATATGTATATTTCGAAATTGGCACAAGATTGAGAGATATTTTTTAATACATAACTATCTTGGAATTATAATCACATTTAAAAACATGTTGTTAACAAAAATATTTTAAGAAGGGGCCGGTAGAGGAAAATAAAATCAGCCCCAAGTTTTGAACAAAAATCGTCGTATTCTAAACACTCTTAAAATTAATTTGTTTTATAGCAAGTTGTGATGTTATATATCAATATTCCAAGATGTTTATGCATAAAAAAATTAGCTGCCAATCTCGTGCCAAATAATATTTATCCAATTTGTTATCAATACTCATGGTATTTTTAGTTAGGAATTCCGAAAAATTCAACCTATTATTATGTAGAGCATAATGAAGCCTTTTACCTAAAGGAGATCATTGACCATATCGAAGCAAATGCATTGACATACAAGGTTCCATAATAAAATACCTTTCTCCAATTTAATTGCTTTTTTTTTAAAAAAAATTCCTTATATGCATATTTCTTTAATTTTATAATTGTTGATTCGTTTTTTATATGCACATTTTTGTTTTAAATTAGTTTTTAATAAATATTTTTAAAATAAAATTACTTTTATGTATTAATTATTTATGATAATATTGATGAATTATATTATCGATTTCTTTCCAATATGCCACATTATTATTTTTTAGTATTGATGGTATCATCAGCTGATATCATGTTGGTATCGGCCAAAAGGTGTTATTAGTGTTACTGATCTAAACCTAAATTTAAAAATGTAAAGGGATATAGTGAAATTGACAGCTCAATTTGTTGCAAGAAATGGACGACAATTTTTGAGTAGTTTGATGCACAGAGAGGCAAGAAATTTTCAGTTTGATTTCCTACGCCCACAACACAGTCTTTTTAACTATTTTACCAAATTGGTTGAACAATACACTAAGGTAAATTTGATAATTTGAAATTATATTTAATATATTTGACATAATCCTAATTATTTAGATATTGTTACCATCTAAAGATATCATAGATAAATTGAATAAAGAATCCAATGATATTAAATCATTGGTGACCGAAATCAAGAAAAGAGAATTATGGATTAAACAATGTCAACAAGAGAAGCAAATGGCCGAGGATTTAGCAGAAAAAGAAAGATGTATATTTGATTGTATCATAAAATACTTCTTGGCAGGAACACGGAAAGAATTGCAAGAGGGTTAAGACTAAAGCAAACCTTATAAGCCTTGCGAACTGAACATTATATTTTTAAAGAAACGAACTGACCTTTTATATTTTCTCCAACCATCTCAAAACTAACAGAACTTTAACCTTTATATATAATCGTTCTGCTTTCTTGGCAGTTAAGCTTAAATAATTGATTCATTTTATTTTATTTAGTGGCCTACGCCCAAATAGACTGGCACGATTTTGTTGTGGTGGAAACGGTAGATTTTATGCAAAACGAATCGGGGAATTTTCCCGCCCCAACCACGCCCGAACAAGTTGGGATGAGGGTTCTTATTCAGGAAAGGATGGAAGAGGAAGAGAGGAAAAAACATATGGGGGCTACCCTTCTATCAACAGATAGGAAGGAAGGAAAAATTAGTAATAAAAGCACCGAGAAAACTATCGATTTGGCTCAGAAAATTATTGAGGAAGAAATGGCTGCCGAAAAAGAGGATTCTAATATTGACGGAACGGCTGTGAATCAGGAAAAGGCTAAAACTTCTCTTGAGAAACAGAGAATTGCTCCTCCACAAGTCCCAGAAGTATTTTGATGACTCCCATTATTTCACTTAATTTTTTTTAAAAATTCGTATTAATTTTAGCAATCGACCAATAAGACAAATATTGCTCAGACCAATTATCAACCATCATCGTCTGAGATGTATAGGGAAGAAAGCCGAAATAATTTTGTACAGCCCTTGCCAGTTCAGCCTACCCCGGAGAATATCATAATCAAGAAAAATTATGATCCTAAAAGTTTTTCTTTATTACTAACTCTTAATTTTAATTTATTACTAATATAAATTATATTATTCAATTGTGATTAATTAAATTTTATTGTTTTGTGTTTGATGGACATAATATTTATAAAATTATTTGATATTCTTTACTTATTTTCTTATTTGTTCTTACTATTTAAATAAATTAGCCATGAAAACGAATTCTTCTCATAAATCAACTGTTGAATATTTGATCTCTCCTATAACTGGCGAAAAAGTACCGGCTCACAAAATGCAAGAACATCTGAGATTCGGTAATAGAAAAAATGTTCCTTTTAAAACAATTAATATACTTTATCAATTTATAGTTTGCAAAACCCTTAACATTGAACTGGACTTGTTAGAAAGCACCATTCTGGTCGATTTTTAAAAATCAATTGATTAAGATTTTGGCACAAAATAATATTATGTATGTCTCAAGATTTGGCAAATAGGTCAATTAATCGCGTCTTTCTTAAAAATCATCCCGAATCCGACTTTATAACAACCCTTATAATTAAATCTTAAATGAAAATGATGATAAAATATAATAATATTAATTTTTTTAAAGCATTTAAAAAACAGTTGATAATTGCTGAAACAAAAAAAGATTATTAAATAAATTCCCCCAAAAATTATGTTATTATACCAATCATTATCTCTTAAGAAAAAAATATATAGGCGGCATAATTAGCCCAATTTTTTTTAAAACAAAAAATAATTTTTAGTTTTTTGGGAATAGTATTATTAAACGGTTCAATTTTAAAAACGGCTAATTCAAGATTTTTGCCAAAAAAATATTACGAAAGCCTCGAGATTTTGATCATAAATAGCAGAAAGCGAAATCTCGAGGCTTTATTAATATTTTGGCTAAAATATGGTTAGACGTTTTTAAAAATCGAGCGGTTTAACAACACTAATTGGGAACTTGTAGTTAGTAACCCCCTTCCCAATTTTTATGATCATTTTTTAAAATAGTCAATGGGCACATTCATAATAGTGGCGATAAAGAAAAAAATATTAAATATTCCTTATTTATTTTAAAGAATAATATTCTATTAAAAATAAGGTTTGTTGGACCCTCAATGGTTGGAACAAAGGGAAAAAACTCTAAAGGAGAAGCGGGAACAGGAAGAAGTTTATGCCACAGGTATGTCTATAGGTTCTAGCCTTAAAAAATTGGCAGAGAGGCGTACCGATATATTTGGGGCAGGTCATAAAGAAACTTACATTGGAAAGAAAGTATATATTTTAATTTATTATATATTATATATCATTTTTACCTCGTAAAAAAATAAAATTTCAATGCAGTCACAAAATCCTCAAAACCAAAGCAAGCTTAAAATTTTGGGCTAAAAAAATCAAATGTTTATTGAAGATTTCCTTTTGTTAAATCCTGTTTTAAAACTGACCGATTATTATTTTAATTATGTTAAATAAGTTTTTTAATGATGTTTAATTAAGGGTAAAATTTTTATGCATAAGAAATCTTTCAAGATTGAAGTCATTAATTCTTTTTAAAGAAAATATTCAATGATTTATTCAAATAATTTTGAAGATTTTTTCATACACTGATTTTTTTTAAATTTTTTACAATATTTTTAAAGAATTTAATTATCGAATAATGTTTTTATTCTTACGAGTACAAATAAGGAATTATTCGAATCTAAAATACAAATCGAATATGATTAATGCAAATTTCAATTTGTATTTTTATAGGTATAGTTCATCCTGAACCACTTTATGTAATCACATTTTGTATATATTTTTGCAATATTCATAAAAAAGTAATTCTTTTATATTTATCATAGACCTGCAGAGGTACCATTTGCAGGGCCCTGCTCCGCCCCAATTTTTTTTAAATTGGCTTAACTTAGATTTTTTAAAATTTTTTGGTTTTATATTTTAAGGCCCGATATATTATATTTATTTTTTATCATTATAGCTAATAATGGCGATTTCAAATATTAAATTTTAATTTAAGGCTCGTCCTGATCCGGGTATATTTTATAAAATTAAAATACGACCCGGCCCTGGTCTCTGATATTTATTATATATGGTTGTTTATACGTGTACATATTTAAGTTTGTAAATTGGGGATGGATTTATCGAGTTCAGCCAAGCCTTGATTGATGTTAGGGCAACGTTTAAGAAAATAGATGGTAAATCATAATATCACGTCCTCCCAACAATTTCACGCCATTTTAAAAAAAAATATTATAGAATAAGAAAATTTTTAGTTTCCCAAATAAAATTCGAAATATAGCATCTTCCACTAATATATGGCACGATGATTGAGAAATCTATTCACTGCTAGATTCGCATTGATTAGTTAAGTGGTTAAGGTTAAATTATTACAGAATTTCCATAATTTTGTTTTAATGAGAGAAGATTTTTAAAATATTTTATTTGTTACTAAACAAGGTAAAAATATGATAAAAGCATTAGAAATTAATCCTAGATTAAACTGCATTGCTCATTTACTAAATATTAAGAAATGCATTTAGTGATAATTATTTGAATAGTATTACCTTTATTATAAAATCAACCAAAGATTATACTAAGAAATTCATGGGATATTAAAGCAAAGTAACAGTCCCAACATTTAAAAGTTCTTTATCGGGATGTTGAGGTCCGCTGGAACTCGAAATACAATATACTTAGTGGCCTCTATTCTCAAAATGAAGAAATTTAGAAAGATTCTCCAGGAACAACAGCAAATTCGAAAAGTATTCTGTTATTAATTTTTCAATATTTGAAGATTTGGTGATAATTCTTGGCAATTTCCAAATAGCTTTTGTTGATTCCAGTCAGACACTTGCACACTGAAAATGGTAATTTAGTATTATGAAGATGAACTCTTTAAGCTTATACCTAACTAAGTGATAAAAGAAAGTTAAAAGCGATTCCTAAAAATATTGAACAATTTTTTAATTTTTATACATAGTATCAAAATTAAACCCCGCCCGGCCGGATTTTTATAAAAATAATCCAGGCGGATATTTTACCAATGTAAAACTCGGCCAGGCCAGATGTGTTTTTTAAATAAAAAAATTCTCAAGCCCAGGACGGGCCTTACAATTGGTACCTCTGCAGAATTCTGATATATACAATATAAATTGCTAAATTTTATGTATTTTAAAAGATTTATTTTTTATATACTTATATTTAAGATAAAATTGTATATCGTTCTATTTTTTTTTTGAAGATCACTTATTCATATTAGATTATACCTAAAATACTTTGTTTTTGAATTATTTTATTACCGACATTTGATTCAGATTTACGAGCATGTTCCGAATAAAGGAAAATATCAGAAAATATACTCTTTCAATATTATCTGAATTAATTTTTAAAAAAATTCAAAAATGGTTAGTTTTTTATTTCGATTTAATTCGTTTATCTGAGACTTATCACTTTGTGAACAAAAGGGCTTTACTAATACCGATTCTATCAATCCATTTCAATATTTTACAAGGCGAAGAAGCTTATTCAAAGATAAGTTGGGTTTTTAATGATTATAGTATTAACATACCCTGTAACTTTTTTTACAAGTAATGATATTATTATTTTTTTAAACTTTTTCTTATATATATTACCTGTTCTTTGATTAACTCAGATTTAATATCACTAAAGTAAATTTATTCTACTCTTTCTGCTTTAAATCAAGTTTCTTCTAATTTTTTTCCCTCCTTTTAAGCTTAATTTTCTCTCGCATCATGAAAACTATTATTAGTCTAAGCATATATTCTAGTAAAGCTTTGCAATCTTATTTGAGAAAAAGGGAAGAGAAATAAATCTTCTTCACGTTGTAACATACTTAAATGGAGCGAAAGAAAACTAGTAAATTCTCAATAAGTGATTTGATTTATAATATTTAATCTTTGATCAAAAATTTTTATGCACACAGAACTAACAATGCATTTAAAGTATAATTAAATAATTATTCTAAAAAAATCAAAACAACCAAGATTAAGATTTATTTGGGGTTGGGGAAGAGGGGGGGGGTTAAGGTTTAAACAGCTGACTAACTCGTTTTAATCCTCAAGATTTGCGCTAAAAATTGACTTTGAGGTTAAGCCAGAAAATGGGCAATAAAATATTGGCTTTTTACTACCTCTTGATTAAAAGAATTTTATTTTTTTTTCCACAACTTCTTGTCTATAATTACAAGTTCTTTAGAGTGATCCCCTCATGTAACACTATTTGGTCATATTGAGAAGGTGTCCGCTATTAGAAAGAGACCACTATAAGTATCATTTTTGGGGGATATATCTCTTAAAATAGATTTTTTTTTAAAATTTATTTTCTCCCACCCCCTCTCATTACTCAATTAAAAATGTAAAATAAAATATTTCCACATTTAGCTAAACGAAGGTGGAGACGATAAAACTGGCTGGGAAGGCCAAGTTTTAACAAAGGAGCCAATGGTCAACGCTTCAGCTAAATCGATGGCATCAGCCCTCTCGGCTTCTAATACTATTGGACCTAGCACATTAGCCACACCGTATATATATCTTTTTCATTTTCTTGTTTTGTAGATAGTGTAGCTCTTATTTTAGATCCATATTTTCATGCCTTTACTGATATGAAAAACACTAAAGATTTCTAATTAATCATAGACAAGTTGCTTTTATATAGACAAATGATTTTTATAAAATTAGAAGTGATATATTTTATTATTTTAAAATATTAATATTGGCAAATGTGATTATTTTTTTATTTTCAGAATTTTGATAATATTTTTAACCCTCGCAGCCCTCTCACTTCTCTTCCCATCCCTATCTCTTCATCCCTCACCTCTCTACCTCCTGCACTTCCCTCCCTTTCCCATTTATCCCATCTTACTCCACCCACGTCTTCATCTGGCTCTTCCCTTTTACTCAAAAAGACTGCCCCAACACCCTCATTCGGTTTAACTCCTCCTCTTCCCCCATTTTCCTTGCCTCCCCCACCACCTGGCATGATGCCTCCCCCACTTCCAATTGGATTTTTAGGGGGCCAAGCGAAAAGACTTAAAATAGCTGGTGATGAAAGCTTTCTTATACCTGAAAACGAATTTTTGGCATGCAATCCGGTAATATATTTTTTTGTTTTTTAGGGTTATATACGAGATTTTTTTGATTCACTAGATTAAATAAACTTTATAAAACAATTTTAACTTTAATTTATTCATTTAATTTGTCTTTTATTTTGATTTTTACTTTAAATTCCTGGTAATATTTATCCTGGTCAGGATTATGTCATCATAAATATCTCTCCATGATAATTTATATTATATTTTCATATGTATAATAAAATTAATAAGAATCCCGTACAAATCAACATCAAGGTGCCTCTAATCACAGATAAATCTGAATGGAAACTAAATGGTCAAACTCTGACGTTTGTTCTTCCACTTACAGATAATGTTCGAAATTTAAAATAAAATTAATTTATGCTTTTTTTAGGTATCTGTTATTAAAGCTAAAATTTATGAGCTTAATGGAATGCCAGCTGGAAAACAGAAGCTTCAGTATCAAGTAAGACATTTTTTACCAAAAAATTAGAATATTATACCTCCACAAATATATTTCTAAATCATAATTGTTATTTATTATAAAATATTTGTTTAAATAGGGCATTTTCATCAAAGATTCCAATACCTTGGCTTTTTACAATTTTCTTCAAGATGCCAATGTTGAACTCAGTCTTAAGGAGAGAGGTGGACGCAAAAAATAAATCATTGATCATATTTATAATATAATTATTACCATGTTCATTTCTGACTAAAATATTTAATCTTTTGGATGCCTCAAAATTTATAAATCGATTTAGTTTATATTATCAATAAAAGGGATAGATTATTGTTTATTAACAATTACGATTATTTGTATGTTAATATAATTTGTTATAGCTATGTTGCATTGAAATTAGCTTTAAATATTTTATCGATTAAAATCAGAGACATGAAACGGGAACATAAATAATATGAACACACAATTTAAAATATAACATTATAAATAAAATTTCATTTCTTCCTTAATTCCAATTTGTTGCGCATAACATTGTTAGCATTAATATATAATTTTAAGATTAAAAACATTCTTTTTAAAAAAATAACCTTAAAATTTTTAGATTTATTGGCGGGTAAAATCCCCTTTCTTCACTTTAAGATATATTAATAAAAATTATATTATTTTTTTTAGAACACAATTTAATTGACTGGAACAGACTAGGAACGTAAAAATGCCTTTGTTCTGGGTCCCTGATTAAATTAGAATGGCGGGACAAAAAATTTAAACCCTTTCGTCGCTTGATTAGTGTATAATGAGTCGGCCTGAAACCAGGTCAGAAAAAAATGACTTATGGTCCTGTCCAGACAACTTGTGCAAAAATTTTACTGAGAAGGCCGGAAATTTACAAAAAAATTAAGCGTAGAGTTAGGCGAATTTATATTTTTTCATTTTTCCTTCATAAAAATTATGGGCGAGTTAACCCGATCAAAATTTTTAATTGGGTGTGGACCTCTAATAATATTTTTTTTCAATATTCCATGAGGTTATATTCAAGGGTAGTTTCCAATAAATTTTCTTCCATATAGACACTGTTTGTGAGCAATTTCAGACCCATGATTGCAAAATATTTAAACAATGACTGTTATTTCAAATTAATTATTTACGAATATATCTTAATCTTATATAAGTTAGTATTTTTAAAGATGTATATTTAAATCTGGTATATTTATTATCAACGTTTAGATAAGGGGGAGGGGAGTAGGAACAGTTTGCATCCATTTTTTTGAGGGGAGAAGGATAAATTAATTGAGATTTGTCTATTCAATTTTTAAATGAAATAGGGAAAAATGTATTGCTGAAAAATTAATACTTATAGACAATTATAATACAATGATACTGCTAAACATCGATCAAATTTATATTTGCACCAATGACAATACCTAGACTGACGATAAAAATGTACATCAATAAAAACAGTTGGGGACGCCATTTTGATTACCCATATCATTATTAAAAAATTTAAACGAGTGGTCAATTTATTCCTATTTCTGACGCAAACTTTATTAAAGAATTACCTGATCATAGATATAACAAGGAAGCAAGTTATCAATTTAATAGTAGTTTTTAAAATGAGAATAATTACTATATGGGTTACCAAAATGGCGGGTCCAGCTGATTTGCATTCAACGACACTTTCAAATGCGTTATAATGATTGCAGTCAGTCTAGGTATTATTATATGTCATTGATTTGCACACAATAGACATTCTTCAAATAAAACTATTTCCCTTGAATGTAATTTCAAAGGGTAAGAAATTCTATTATTATACTAAACTCATATATACTATAATGCATGTAAATGAAGAGTTTACAAATAAATTCAAGATCTAAAAAATAACTTATTTTACATTCACAATATTTTGATAGTTTGTTTATAGTAGAATATTAATAATTTAAGTTACTCTTAAAAATTAATGAAGGGAGTATCATTATAATTAAAAAGCTGTTATTACCCTTATTTCAGGTAATTTCTCATGAACTTAATACAATTTATATTAGTTTTTATATAAAATGACTCAAAGGTTAACGGCAAAATTGTCTACAATTCAAAAGATAAGTATTCTAAACATTGCAATACATTTCAGGTAAAATCAGATTTTTAAATTAAAAAAACAGGCTCAAAAATGATTTAAAGTTGAATAAATAACACTGAGAGAAAAAACACATTGACACTAACTTATGCAAAAAGTTGATATTGTCTTAAAAACCAGTTATTGAATTAGACTAGTCAAATATCAGTCAATTGATCAAATCGTTTTAGCCTCAAAAATATACAACCCTGCTTTTGAATTGTTCAGTGTCTATATGACCGGGGTGGGTTCTACTGTTGTTAAACGGCTCATTCTGAGCTGATTTTAAAACGGATAACTCAATAATGTTGTCATTTGAATACATTTCAAGTTTATCTAATAAGCTTCTACGAGGGAAAGCTTGGCCTGGGTCAAAAAAAATTTAAGCTAGACCCGATAACTTGGGCAAAATATTATTATGGGCCAGGTCATTATTTCACAAATTTTTAAGGCGAATCTATCATTTATTCCATAAAAAAATTAAGTTTTGAATTGGATAATATGAGAATAAGATAACTTTTTTTAATTTAATAATGTATTTCTTGTTCAAGAAACATAGTTATTAAAAATGGAAGCTCGTCAATTTTTAAAGCTAAAAATTTGAGTTTGAAAAAATCTTTATTTTTGATCAAATTTTACCAAAAAATCTGTTAGAAGAAAATCTTTTGTAATTTTCCCATATGAAAGATTCAAGATGAAATCAAATATTAAAAAAATTAACAAGATTTTTTTCTCAAACTGTTCATTACAAAACAAATATAAACATTTACCCCTGATCATGATTATCACCTATACCTAAAACGAATTACTTGTTAATTTGTATACTTATTTTATTGATAAAAATTCAAAACTATTTATATGTTCCTTATGGAACTCACTTTTTTCTCTTATCTATAAATCACTTTTATATTTTAATAATCCATTTGTAAAAATATTTTTAAAGAATTTAATATTCGAATTTAATCGTTGACAAATTAAATCAACTAAATTTTATTATTATTTCGTATAGATTACGAATTATTTATTTATACATATTAGAATAATATAATTATTCAACTTGAAAAATGCAAATATTGGATTCATATTTTTGTAAGTATACTATCGACAAATAAGATTATTTATCATAAGAGAAAATAATATTTATAATGGAATATACTGTTAAAATTTTTAGTTTTTGAATGTAGAATTCTACACAATATACTGGAAGCCCTTACACTATTTACATTAAGAACCTGCAGGTCCTGGCCTATGATATTTTTGAAAATTTTAAACACAACTCACAAGGGTATTTTTTTTAATTAAGAATTTTTTCAACATTCCTAAAATTCTTTACTACGATAAGCCCAATATTTTCAGAGAAAGCGTATCTAGTGAGATTCGAAACAAAATAAGTTATTCTTAGTTACTACTTAAACATCAATTTTACAGATAGAGCTTGGCATCAAACTACACTTCTTTCCAAGCATGGTGGTCTTGGGTATAAGATCCCTATTGTCGATTTCAATTTGTGCGTTTATCGCTAGCCATCTAGACGTAGATCAATCTACCAACATTTATAAGTCCTAGATCCCCTTTTAAATATAACTAGGACGGAGTTATCAAAATCCTTAACAATCACAACCATATTTCCGATTTCTGTAAAGCAAAAGGATTGAGATATACCACTTGTGAAAAACTACGTTGATTAAATTATTTCGAGTCTTTCACCTTTGGCTAGATCCACATTCATTGAACTTATTAAGGACTGGGGATATGAATAGAAGTTATTTCATCAAAAATCTCAAACTTGAATCGGACAATCACGAGCTCAGCTATGCTCTTTGTAACAGGCTCAACATTCCTTTCTCATTACCATATATGTTGAAGCAAATGTCATAATGATGACAGTATGGCACTGCATCCTTTACATTGCAATCATAATCCCGGTTAGCAAACCCGACATTCACGGTGCAATAAAATCATACTTCTTGCAGCTTGTTTTTCTATCGTAGGAGCCTTCCGATCTCTTTCCCGATGATATACTTCTTGATAGAATCACACTAATTTATGATCACAAGGAAAATATTTTATATGGGATTTTTCAAGTCTGGACATGAACTTCCTTTCCAATTTTAACAAAGACGCTCTAAACAGAGTACAAAATTTTAAGATCGCCAAATACAAAGCTGATTCTTCTAATTATATATTCGTACCATTCATTTGCTCCACTTATAGGGATTTGACTAAAAAAAATTAAAGATGTTGGCTGCCATATCAGGAAAAATTCTGGGAAACCGTGAAGACTTTCACTTAAGACAGAGGATAACAATAGCCATTCTTAAGGCTAATTATGTTTGTTTTATTAATTTTATTCCTGATAATCAGGGTTTTCCTCTTAAAGACTATGTCGTACCTCTATATATCTTTGTGCTATCAATTTTTTACTGTATTTCACTACTTCTGTAATACATAAAAATTTGATGAATAATGAATAAATGTATTTAATAAGGAAAAAATCTATTTATTATTTCAAGGTATAATTTTTTTTATAATTTTAAGGCCAGCACTGCACAAAGAATAATTTGAATTCTCAGTATGACCTAAAAAATATTTTGGACAGGCTGTCTAGACCTTTTTTTGCTATGACAAGGTTTGGGAAAGATTTTGATTTACATATTCCTATTATAAAATAAGGAAATATTTTTGTAAGGATAAGGAACATTATTAACCTAGAATGTAAAATTTGTAAAGATACAAATTTTGATAAAATGAAGGTTCAGACATGTAGCCATAGCCTATTGTTCTTTATTTTTAGATGTGTGAAAATAAGAATAAAAAATATGTTTCATATCAAAAATAAACAATTTGTTTATTCTAAATAATTCAGTTTTCAATTCAGTTTTGTCAACGTTTTTGCTCCTTATTTATCATCTATACTGGTCTGTACATATTTTTTTTTTGGAATGGTAGATATTGCTTATTATTAATACATTGATAATAATATAAACATAACTCCTGCCCATACAATTTAAACAAATAGAATATGAGGAGATTATAATATTTATAGCATTAAAAGGTCTCTTTGTGCAAATGTATAAAAGATGCCCTTAAGAGCAATAGCCAGGATAAAAGGGGAAGTTCTAATAAATAATTATGGACTATTATTTGCAAACTTTGTCTTTTGCAAATATAAAGTATGACAAATGTCTGCAAATACAACAAAAAAATTTAGCACAAACATTGAATAAATTTTTGTATCAGTTGCAAAATATCATAAATATTTAAATAATTTTATGGCAAAATATAACTTGATGTTTTATGATTTATAAATATTATAAAATAAAAACCTTGAAAAAAAATATCTAATTTTGGAGTTATTGACATTTATAGTTGTTAGTAATGTAGTTAAATGACTTGTTTTAAGCCAATCTTTAAATATGGCTAACTCAATATTTTAGTCAGAAAAGCCTAAACCTTGAGATTTCTTTAATAGATGTCTAGACCTTTGTGCCCTATGAGCAGAATCTTAATATTTTTCTGGATAAAATACTGAGTTTGATGTTTTAAAAATCAGCTCAAATCCACTAAGTGTTAGTATAGTTGTAAAATTACTATATTTTTAGCCAGTCAAAAACTATCATTTTGACTTTGGAGTTTTTCTTAAAATATAGTAGCTCAAATTTGAAAGAAAAATATGAATTAAAACATTATGTTAACAGAATTTCTCTCATAATGTGCCTGTAGATAAGCTAAATTACCCAGAATTTAGCCATTATCCAACTATCGTTGTTAGTCTTCATTTCTATGAGGTTAAGAATTATAAGACTTTTTGCAAATTCATGTTGCATTTAAGGGTTATGAGAGGAGCAATTTAATTTTAAGTAGTGTAATATAAATTAAAATTATAAATTAATTTTATATACATTTTAATAAAAAATTATTTATTAATATCATTAACATCAAATAATGCATTTTTGATATAGCTTTTAGCCAAAGGAACATTAAGAGTTGGGTGTGGTGGTTTAACAGTTAATCCAAGTTTTTCTTCTGTTTCCCGCAATTCTTTTAAACATTCCTTTATCCTTTCCAATTCCTGTTTTATCCCTGAGGCATCAATATCTTGACTATTTAATTTCATGTACACTATAAAAAATTTAATTATAACAAATATAAATAAATTAAATGTAATTGTTAAGTTTGAATTTAATAGTAAAAATTAATTAGTGAATTAAGAGCTGCAAATAAATATTTATATCAAAATTACTAAAGAACAAGGAATTGATTAGGTATATGATTGCAACATTATAGTTAGCTCTTTCAATTGCTGACCACTAAAATTTATAATTGAAAATGATAATAAAAAATATTTAAACTTTGATATTATTTTCGTTATAAGCTTTTTGCAAGGGTTGGATTATACCTTTCAGGTCAGTGATTTGTAAATCGAGTTTTTTAATAGCATCATCAATTTGTAGAACAAAATTCATTAAATTCTGTTAATTATAACCGTTTTTGAAAATTGAAAATATATTGGAGTTTTATCAAAATGGAACGATTGGCATTCACTAACAAATTGACACATTGATAAATTAATGATATGATTAAATGTCCATAATTTCATGATTTAATATTTGAAAGAAGATATTAAATCTAATTTACTCTTGAGAGATTAGGATAAATATAAAATTAAATTAAATTAAATTAAATTAAATTAAATTAAATGCTAAAATAGTTTTGAATCCTTTATTAAATACTAATAATTAATTATAAGTTATATAAATTATTATAAAGGGAAAACATAAAAAAATAAAATTAATTTTAAAAAAAGTAAAGGTAAAAAATTAAAAATTATAAGTGAAAAAAGAATAAGTTAAAGTAAAAAAGAAAGAATATCATCTCTTCCTATAAAAAACCATATATATATATATATATATATATAGTATCATTATTTACATATTATAATACTCGTCGTATTATTAACATTATACATATTCAAATTTTACATGAACTTTAAATATTCAACTTTATAGGAAAAAACTATTTTCCATAAATATTTAAATTTATATACACAAGATCTTTAATAAAAATAATATAATCACAACACACTGCATTTATAAATGTGTGATAATAATTTTTGAAACATACCTCACAACATATGTTTTTGGAATTTTATCATGGCGCCATAGTTTCATTTTCATCCATTTATTTGCTGATTTTATAAATAATGGAGAGTTAAATACGGCACCGCTTGGACAAATCACGTTTACCATAAGTGTGGCAACCATAAATTTCTTTCTCAAGCTATGAATATTGTAAAAATACCAAGAAAAATAGATATAGATGTATTGTTGTTAGTGTTGTTAAATAACCCAATTTAGATCGATTTTTCAAAGCAGCTCGATTAAAATTTTAGCCAGAGAATATTATGTAGGCCTCAAGATTTGGCAAATAAGGCCCCAAATCTTTCTTTTACCTACAAGCAAAATCTTCACGTTTACATGATATTAGCTAAAATCTTAATCGGGCAGTTTTTATATATCGACCTAAATGGGGGGGGGGGGGGCGTTTAACAATACGATTGCTGCAGATAAAAAAAATAAAAATCTTAGGCAATATAATAATAATTTTAAAAATATTGATTTTCATAATAATATTGCAGAAATTATGTCGGTAAAAAAAAGAAGATTGACCCAACGCTGCTGAATTGATTATATTTACTGTATTAAATATTATATTAATATTTTTCATTCTAAAATAATATATATATAATTCATAACCAAGCGAGCCCCCCCCCATCTTAAATTTGCTTATTCTCGTCAATATCATTTTAAGCTAATAAAGATTTCCCCCTCTACACGCGCCCCACTTCACTTTCCTTAAAAATGAATACAATGTATCACTATCAAGAAAAATCTGAAATAAAAATTAGCAAAAGTTTTTAAAATAGACTATATTTCCAAATGATTAGAATAAAAACACTTAAATCCTCAAATTCGCGGATAAAAATATTTATACAAAGTAAGCACCGTGTTATTGATTATTTTTTTGTAAATTTTTGAAATATTGGTAAAATATAAATATATTTTAAATCAAAATATTAGGAGAATTTAAAAAAATATTACAACGAATTGATGACTGATGGGAAAAAGAAAAATTATAATTTTTTTTATTTTCTTCTTCCTTTTTTAGAAAGGCGACAGGTGGGCTAAAATAAATACAAAAATTATCCGTTTTAAATGTAATAAAATTATTTCTTGTAACATATATGACTCCAGATACATCTTCCATTGGTGCGATTAGAAGTGGTAGTGTATTTTTGTTTTTTTTCAAATATTTGGTAAATTATTTTAAAGGGTGGAATCTTTAATTTGTGGGGAAAAAATCAGGGTTTTTTTTACCCTTAAATTTGTATTGCGTTGTAGTATGGCTATATTAATAGTACAAAGCACGAGAGAAATGTCATGTTAATTTTCCTATAAATAATAAAAAAAATTGGTGTTTTCTTCTATCTTCTGTAACCCAGTCGGTGATTGCGTTGATCATAAGTCCGATGGACCTGGGTTCGAATCCAGTACAAGGGTCATTATTTTTCTGAAGCCAACTTGGTGATTCCATACTTGAGAGCATAGGCGTAGCCAGTAATTTTCTAAGGGGACGAATAAAAAACTGGGGGCTTCTCCCCCAAACCCCCATTTTAGGCGGGCCTTCGGCCCGCTTTTGCCCGGCCTTCGGCTGGGTTACTTTAGTCTATATATAGTCATAAAATATTTTTACAAATTAATAATAAAAATAAGCCTGGAACAAATATGAAATATATTTTTAGTAGTTTATATAAAATAAAAATATAATAAATTACTTGACTGTATATACCTTAATATAAGAGCATGGTAATAATTTATTCCAAACAATTATAAGAAATTTATTTATAAAAAGTAAATAGACATAGAGTTGATTTTACTCTATTATATAGAATTAGTTACAAAATACTAGGTAAAATTCCACTTTTACAGACATATTTGACAGTTAGAGAATATATAATAGTTAATATTTTAACAAATTTTACTAATCATAGCTCTTGATAATAAATATAGCACCAATTTGCATTCAATTATTTAACGCCATCTATTTATTTTAAATAAAAATAATCCACAATGTCTTTAAAGATATTTTCTGATGTCCTTATCAATATTTTATAGTTTTCTGTAAAATATATAATTCGCTATATTGGTAAAAATTACTTGATTATCATATGATAACAGATAATTAGATATACTATAAATCTACGACATATAATATTCCACTGTTTGTATTGTGCTTTAATTTATTTTATTTAATTTATGATTTAATTATTTCAATAGTTTTATAATTATATTTTACTTTTATTAAGATAAATAAATTTTAATTACTCACTTTATAAAAAATTATATTTGATATATTATATTATTTAGTAATTTTATGGATCTATTATTAATAATTATAATATATTTCCCTTTTGTCTTAAGACTTATTTTTGGCTTATATTTCATTTCTTAAAAAGCATTTTTGGTTCACTTTTTTTATATATAAATGCTTTTTCCCAAAAATGTATAAATTATGATGAATAGTTTTATAAAAAAATATCAACTTTTACATTCTTTATTTCAAATTATTGTTTAACATATATGCATACATTTTTTAGAGTCAGGGATTAGGAAAAGGACTAAGGGGGATATTTTTTATTAGCTTAAAATGATATTCACAAAAAGTGATAAATTTCTGAGGGGGGGGGGGATTTCCTCTTGCCACCCCGATCTGGCTACGCCTATGCTTGGGAGAATGATATAGAGTACATAATTCAGTTTGTATATATATAAGAAAATAAATGAGTCTTATTATATTTTGACAAAATTTAGTAGTTGTTTAGCAAATAGTATGGCAGGCATATCACCTAGCCTTGTAGTACCTGCTCATCAAAAATGAGAAATTAAAAAAAAAATTGGCAGCCTGATTATCGGAGGAGACCAGATCCGAGGTTAGACCCATTTTTTTTTTAGAACCTGGACTTTTAATTATTTTCTAAAGTTTGCCTTACTATTTTAATTCAAGAAATTTTTTAATCGATTTTTATGTATATTTTATTTTATATTACTTTTCTAGTGGAATTACTTGCGTTTTAGGGATTTTTTTTATTTTGAAAAAAAAAGGTTAATATATGGAAATATTCTAAATACCAGCCTAGTTTGCTAAATACCGACCAAAATTTATTAAAATGTAATAAGACCCTTATTATTTAATATATTATAACTTATTCACGTGGTCAAGTCCGGCCTCCTATATATACCACCAAGATAAATCCGTGACCATGGGTTCAGTAAGCGAAGCTCCTGCTGACTAGGCCATAGAGGCTTTCCAAAAATCACGATTTTTCAAATATATATTATAAATATATTTGGTAGTGCTTATCCAAATGAAAAATAAACAAAATTCAAATTTGATAGGTAGTACCTTAAGGTAGTAAGCATCATTAACCAAAAAAAAATTTGTCAAATAAGTATTTTACATTTTAAATTAAATATTTGCATTATTTGTTATATTTTCTATATTTAATTTGGTATTTTTAACATAAAATATAATACTTGTATGTTGTATATTTATTAAAATGATTAAAAAAAATTCAAGAATTAAATTAGGGATAAACAAAAATATTTTTAAAATAACAAAGAAAAGGTCAAAACCCCATCCTTCGGTCTTTTTATTTTGGACCACGATCTGGACCTATCTTTTAATTGAGAATCGAGGTCCAGTTCGGCACGTGTGTATCGGTCAAGTCCAGACTAAAGACCGGACTTTGATCTTCACTACTTAGAGGAGCTGTTACTTCCCCTAACAATTGTGACTCCTACTTTCTCTCTCTTACAATCTAGATGTTAAATCCAACTCAAGAAATTAATGAAAGAATAACGTTAAAATATAGAATAAAATAAATATTTTAAGTTTTGAGATATATTTCCTAATTTCATTTATAAAAATCGAAACCTGACCACGATAGCCCCACGAACCGGACATATACCTAAAAATTCTTTACAGCCAGGTTTTAAGCACAAAAATATATTTAAGAGGGAAAGGGAGGGGGGGGGGACTAATTTTTATTTTAGAAATTTTTAAAATTCCATTTGCCTTCCACCCCCTCCCCTCATCCCATAGAAATTAATTAGTTAAAATATTATATAAATGGATACTTTTAAATATTCATTTACTGTTTATCATAATTTCAATGACCCTTTGAAATAATTTATAAAAATATAGTCAGAATTATTCCAAAAAAAAACTTCCAAGGATCCAAAATAATATTTAAAATATATAGGATAGGAAAAATAATTTCCAAATTCGGTTTTTTTTTTAAATAATAAATTTTTATTTTTTTAAAAAAACTTATTTTCATTTAAAATTTTAAAGCAATGCTAAGGTTATTTATAAATTAACGAAAATATCAATTTCATTAAGATTTGTTAATTTTTTTTTTTATTAAAAACTAGTTACGCTTAATTGAGTATATTTTTGATTATAAAATTCTCC